GCTTCTAATACTCCTCCCCCCTCCCCCTCCTACACTGGACAGGCAAAACTGGCCTCTCCCTCTTATGTTACTTATAATCTTGGTCATTTTAACATAACACTTTTATTTATTTATTTGTGTTTTAGGTTTATATTCCACCCTCCCGGCAAACTGGCTAAGGGCGGATCACAATATAATTGGCCATTCGACTACAGAAAACATGACAATACAGTTAATTAAAACATTAAAAAAAGCATTTAAAAACTCCAGCCGTGAAAGCCTTCGACAACACATTTAAAAACAGTTTGCACCAATGCTGGTGTCGCTGGTGTTTTAGTTAATTTAATCTAATATGGGCTGCATAGAGATGGGGTCTTCAGCAGGGGAGGCCAACTGTTTCTACTGAACGTCTGCTGCCTCAACTGAAGGCCTGGTGGAACAGCTCCATTTTACAGGCCCTGCAGAGCACATATGGGGAGAGGCAGTCCCTTAGGTATGTCAGTCCCAGGTTGCACAAGACTTTGAAGGTTAATACCAACACCTTGAAACGGACCTGGTACTCAATTGGTAGCCAGTGCAGCTGGCTTAGCACTGGCTGAATGAGCGCCCGCACAAGCAAACGTCAGCAGGCACGCCACAACATTTTGCACCAGCTGGTTTATGGATCAATTGCAAATGCAAGCCTGCATAAAGAGAATTACAGTAATCAAGTCTGGAAGTGACCATTGTATGGGTCACTGTAGCCAAGTCCTGGGAGGAGAGGTATGGGGCCAGCTGCCTGATATGCCAAAGATGATAGAAGGCTCAATTTGTGACAGTGGAAGACCTATCGGTATGTAACTTGAGTTACTTTAAGAGACCTATAGTGGCACCGATTACATAAAAACTTAAGAAGGGCCCTGATGGATTAGACCAATGGTCCATCAAGTCCAGCATCCTGTCTCACACAGTGGCAAACTAGTTCCTCTGGATGGTTAACAACAGGGCGCAAAGGCCAAGGCCATACTGTGATGTTGCCTCCTGACTCTGGGATTCAGAGGATTAGTGCATCTGAATGAGGGAGTCACCATGGCTCGTAGCCATTGATAGATTTATCATCCATGTATCTATCTAATCCATTTTAAAAGCTGTTTATTCCAACACTACATTCTCTGGCAGTGAATCCCACATTTTAATCACTCTCTGTGTTAAACAGTATTTCCTTTTGTCCATCCTGAACCTACTGCCCATCAACTTCATTGGACGCTCTTGAGTTCTAGTATTTCGGGAGAGGAAGAAAAAAAAATTCTTTGTCAACTCTTTGCCCCATGCATAATTTTATAAACTTCTATCAGGTTCCCCCATTAGTCTTCTCTTTTTTAAACTGAAAAGTCCCAGACTCTTCACTTTCCTCACAGGGAAGGTGCTCCAACCCCCTAATCATCTTGGTTGCCCTCCTCTGTACTTTTTCCAGCTCTGCAATGTCCTTTTGGAGATATGGTGACCAGAACTGTACACAGTATTCCAAAAGAGGGCACACCATAGATCTGCACTGGGGCATTACTGTAGCAGCCGTCTTATTCTCAATCTCTTTCCTAGCAATCCCCAACACAAGAGTTTGCTGTTTTCATCACTGCATCACACTGGGTTGAGCTATCCACTACAACCCCAAGATCTCTTT